TGAAATCCGTTGGGTTTGGTACTGGAGGAAATTATTAATATATACAATAATTTACTTCAAAATATTTCTGTATAATAATTTGTGTTTGGGTTAAATCCAAACGTTTATAAATTTTATAAACGTTAAAACTCGTTTATATTTCTTGATTTACTTAAACACGTATAGTTTATTAAATTTAAAATGACAGTGGTTGTATTTTAACATTAACAGCATCAATGCTAAAAGATGTAACGAAGAAACAAAAGTGACAATAACAGAGGCAACAGTAAGAATAGAAGTGGTGAATATCTGCATTTGAAGTAATTATAAACCACACAGAAAATTATTGTATTATGAAGGAACATTCAAGAATTGTAGTAATATCCGATTAAATGTGTGTTGTGAAATACGAGATCTGCTGTCATAATTTTCTCTTCTGGGAATCCGATGACAAACGTTTCAAAACATATTTGAATCCCAGTTAAGTTAAACTAATATTAACACGAAGTATCTCACCTAAAAAAATATCGTCATTTTGATAATAGGACCCGTTGAAGTTAATACAGCATTGTATTGCGTTTCATTATTCAATTTTATTTTAAACCTAATTTCGTTTTCATATATTAAAATTTATATAAAATGCAATGCATTTTTTTAAGGATTTATACTAGTATAACATAAAATAAATGAATTATTTTTATTATTTAAATAATAATGAAATCTTATCATTTTGAACCAAAAAATAAAATAAATGATAATCTTATTTTTTAATTTAAATTATTAGAAATGAAATAGTTTACTTTATACTATTTATGGTGTTAGAGTTTTTTGCCAGGAGATAGACACAATGTTTTAAAGTTTGGGAAATTTGTTGTTAGATTAGAATAACGATATATTTTATTATTATTCATAAAATGGTTAGTCATTATGAAAACTCAGATCAAGCAAAATTTCATCATACTATGAAAAAATCTACAAGCTTGTAACATACGACTACCAAATTTTTTTGTTAATTTATAAAAATTAAGATTTTATGAAGTCATATTTTTTGTCGTTTGTTGTAAAACGAGTTAAAAAGTTAGTCTATAAAAAGAAGTTTGTCGAGTTAAAAATTCCTTTTTTTCAATACTTATTAATTGTGTTCTACATTTTTAATTTTTTTTACTAAATTTAGTGTTTATAGCTTCTTATTTATATTTGATAATTTTATTCGCTTTTCTTAAATTTTTTTAATTTCATAATACTGTTTAAGAAATCTTATTTAAAAAATTTAACTCCTTTTATTTGGTCTTTAGTGTCATCAAGCATACTATTAACTTTGTAAAAGACACAAAAGTTAAAAAAAATTAATGGATTAGGATAATTTTTAATAAGAGAAAGCTTATGGAATCGGTAACATAATAAAACCAAATTTGTTAAAATTCTATAAGATTTAAACAGCGTATATGAAGACTTCATAACACTTAGTGTGAATAATTAACTTTCATTTTATCTTTACTCATGTACAATCTTTAAGTAAGAAAGTATAATTATTTTTAGTTTATTTGCGCATGATATTTTTGATATTATATGATTTATTAACTGTTAGATCATAGTTTTGGTTAATGAATATACAATTATAAAATATATTATAAATACACATTAACACCATTGTTTAAATATTAACCAAGTGTTAATTTTATGATTTGTTTAAGATTTTTTGAATATTTTCTTTAATTTAACTAAATAAATAACATCACTTGGTAATTTTTGATTGTCGGTAACAATTTAGAAAATATTACTTAAACTACTAGGAAATGGTGGTTGGATTCACACAATATACGAATAGTGGGTGTTGTAGATAGCTGTATTTTATTTGTTTTCCTCTGATTTTTGTGAAATTTTTATATTATAATTTTTATATTCAATCCCTCTTGTATAAATGGGGAAATGGTCCTTTAGAAATCAATTTTTAGATATTTTTTTTAATTTCTTAGTTTAAGTGGTTTTTATAAAATTTTTAGTGACTGCAGGTTCAACTAGATTAAGATCAGATTTTTTGATGACCGACATAAAAAAAATTTCACTGAGTTATTGTTTTTTATTTGTAAGTAAAGCTCTAAAATATGGCTATATTGAAAAAAAGAAAACCATATGAATTATTTAAATAATAGTAATTTGAAATATTCACTAGATCAAAAGTTAATTGGTTTGTTATAATATCGTGGATTCTGTACACGTAGAGTTATATGAGTGTACACCATTAGGTTTTCATATCTTTAACACTTTTTTTCCAATGATTTTTCGCTTTATTACGTCCAAAATTGTTTAAAATACTTACAGGATAAATACACATATGTATAGTTATCCTGTAAGTATTCGAAACTAGAGATTCATCCAATGAGGTAGTTGTTGTTTTGGTATTTTGTTCGTGCACTTGTGGTTTTGTGGCCGACCGGGCCCCTCTAATCAGCCCCTTGCGGTCACTGATTATACATAGTAACAACTACTTCGGTTGTTGTAACAGTGATTGTATGATATTAAGCTTAACACGAATTAGTTAAAAACAATCAAATAGTACTTTTTCATATCTTTTTAATTTTTTTCTAAAGTGGAAGTTCTATCGATTTTATTTTTTTGAATGATTAAAAATACAATAAACGAGGTTTTAGTATTTAATTTTTTTAATTCATATGCAGTATGATTTATTAACAACACTATCTTTTATTTTGAAAAATTTCAATTAGTACCTTCAGAAATTGTATTATAATTACGCATATGTACTTAATTAAAACAGTGTGTACTGTTAACATTTCTAAGGTATTATATTAAAAGCCTATATTTGAGAATAAGATAGACTGCAAAGAATTTTCAAAAACTCAGGAAATTTCATTTAGCTAATTTTATAATTTATTTTGTATTTTCTGACTGGAACTTCATTAGTTTCAGCGAGTTGCTTTTCTTAGTAATATTATATTCTGGACCATTTAGCTTATAAGAACTATAATGAAACTTCAGTCCTAAAAGAGTACTATTTTCTTCTTAATCAGCCAACACAATGGTTATATTTGAGCCCTAGCTTTTAAGAAAATAATGTATGTATGCCTATACATATATAGCAGCTTAATAGATAAAACATTAAATGAGTGATACAACGGGATAGACTGTATGACATGAAATGAAAAAAAAAAGTTTCGATTTATCGGTAGACGGACGGCAAACTGTGCTGAACAACTCCGTTGGCTTTATAGTGAAGAGTTCTATGTTACCGTACCACAAAGACAATAAAACGAGAGACTAAACAGGAGTATTACCTTAATAATATTGTAAAACGCTTTTGTTTTTTTCTGAATGCACAAAGATGGTAGTTCGTACTTTCATTTACTCATTCCGCTCATCTTTTTATTTTTTATATCCACGGCGTACGTGTATCATAAAGAATGGAAAACGGTATAACAATTGAATTTGTACGTAAAGAAGCTTTAACTAATTTTGGAACAAGATAAAACTTTCCTGACAACAAACGGCTAAAGTAAAAATAAATGTGTTATTATGGTTAAGAGCTGAAAATTGAAATTACATTATTTAACTATATTTTATAAAAGACATGAAGAAAGTAGAATTAAAAGTTACATGGCCTTTATCCAATTTAATGGAGGACTATACGAATAGAAATAATAAAACTAATAGCATATCTTATTTATGTGTTAAATTAATTATGTGTCTGATGATAATTATTCGCTATTTTATGTAGATTAACTAATTTTATATTGCATAGGTAATTAACTTTATATTTGAGTATAAAAACTCAACTTGAATGTTATTTTATAATGTAACTTTGTATTTTGCAGTAAATAAAATATATAATACTTCATTTGATGTGAAAATAACACAATTAAATTTTAAAAATGACTACTTCATTAGACTTTTCTATAGCAATACAAAATATTCCTGCTTATTACTATAGTCTATTAAGGAAAATATAATGTTTATCATTAGACTAATTAAAACATGAAGGTTGTATTCTTCTATTAAATTGGAAGACATTATATAAGTGAGGCGAGCTCGTTTAGAAATTATTTGTAAGGTAAAGTTGTTTCGTACATTAATTTTAAAATTTATTTCGTTAAGAATTACGGAATAAACATAATGCGAAAAATAAGGCAAGATTTTTCGAAAGAAGTATAAATTATAATGAATTAAGATAAGAAAGTAAAAAATAAAAAATTAGTACTTCTCAGAAAAAAAAAATTATTTAACAATTGAAAACACGAGTCATATGAAAAAACTGAGAAAAATATATTTGGTAATATTATCCGATTTACCTAATTATCTAATTGATAGTCACAATCATTTGTAATTCTCGTGTGTTCGACAATTTATGAGGTGTTCGATTTCATAATAATAATAGTTGGTACTTGGATTTTTAAAATTAATATAAGTTATAATACGAGTATTATTTATAATTTTTTGTAATCAATGATCTTAGGTCGAATTTATACCACTTAAAAAACACTGTGTATCATGTACATCAATAAACTGTTACAACAAATGCTATATATCACAATTCTTAATAGAATAGTCAAGTTGTATGAGTACTTCTTTTTTTTGTTTCCACATTAACATTGCCATATAAAATGAAAAAGTTTTACATTCTATTTCACAAGTACCTACCTAGGTGGTAACAAATGGTCTTTTTCATTCGTAGTAACTTGGGGATTAACTAACACTCAAATGCCATTTCACTTGCTTTTATTTTATTTTGTCGTCCATATTAACACAAACTCTTTCTTTTTTGGACTTTCACTTTATACATATTTAATGAGTCGTATTGCTCGTATTCTCTTATACCAAAATAACTGAAAAACTTAACTACATGGCAAAACAAAAAGGTACATTATATATATATTGGATGGTGCACAATTCCTCGAGGGAGGCAAATATTTTTGCGAAAGATTGATTGTTTATATCGACTTTTATATTACTTAAAAGCAAATAAAAATGATTCGTATTAATTTCGTTTTTTTCATATTATTTTTCAGCCGAACAAAAGGTGATGCTTATGTTGTTTTGGTATTATTAATATGTTTTTTAGTAAACGGTGTTTATTCGTGGTCATGTCCTTCTGACTGTATTTGTTTATCACACACACAGGTAAGATAACATCCCACAGTTTATTTTACAATACATCCTAAAAAATGCTAGCATTCAAGCGATTTTAGTTTACTATTTATATTCATTTGACATATGGGTATATGTATTACCTATTTTCTAGTATTTGGATTATTCCCAACTATTGAACTGAATAGTACTGATAAATTTAATCTAAAAACTGAATTTCGCTCTGAAAAAGTTTAACTTTTTAGCTTAACATGAGGTTTGTTGGTTATTTTGAAATTAACAAGTATCATAAATATTCACACTATAAAGTTTAGATTAAATTCTATTACAAGTTCAGTTCTATGAAATCTAACATATTGTTTTTGTTTCGTATAATCTTGTAGTTCCATTTTAATTAATATGTTGATTTATTTGTTGTCTATATTATGAATTTAAACAACGGAAGTCCATCATTTAGTATCAACTTAAGGTCACTAATGAGGCTATTAGTGTAGTAGTAACGTTATATATTTTTTTAAAAATTCACTTTAAACATCAATAGTTTTTGATTATTAAAATCAAGTTTTAAAAAGTGAATTAGATCATTTTTGCAACGATATCCTTATTAATATTCAAGAACAATATAAATCTTTAAAATGTTTTTCAAAAACAGTACAAGACTGTAATTTTTGACAGTTTACAAAAAATACTGATGAAATTTTAGCCTATAAAACTTGACAATATTTCAGATATATTAATATGTTTACATTATATTTAGGATTGTTATGTTATTGACACAAATATTGATTACATTATTTCTAGATTTTATGTAATTCAGGACACTTGACTTATGTTCCACTAAATGAACTACCAAAAACTGTCGAACATTTGTCATTAACCAAAAACAATTTAACATATTTGTCTATTGATGCATTCAATGGCCTTCGATCACTTCGAAAATTAACTTTAGATGGTAATAGTATACACACTATTGAACAATTTGCTTTTCGAGGATTAACCAGACTCAGAGAGCTCACAATTCAACATACACCATTAAGAGCTCTGAGAAAATTCTCATTCTCCGGGTTACAAAACGTCACAGCCATACTACTGGGGTTCAATCAAATCAGTGTTATTGAAGAGTTTGCATTCGCAACTTCAGCTAACATAAGACTTATACTATTGAATAATAATCCCCTTCATATAGTAAGTATAAGTGATTTTTTACTATCAATAATATAGGGTAGTGGAGATAAGTTTACCACTTTCATTAACTTAAAAATGGCACCATAATAAAATATAGTTTATAACGTTTCAATTATTTAAAATGTATAATGTAATAATATTGTTAACGTTATAATTATTATAACGTAAAAACAAAATAAATATATTTTGATTCAAGCCCTGATTTTCATATACACAAAGCGAACACATCAAATTTTTTTTTTTATAAATCCTCTTAGTACTCCTACAATTTAATTAATACTTAAATTTTCAAATAAATTTTATCCGTAATGTTATTATTCGGATTTTCATAAAAAAAAAAAAAATTATAATAATTGATTATTTCACATAAATTAAAGACTTTTTGGGGAAAAAAAGTATCATTTAAATTATATGTATGTTTTTATTTATATAATTTTTGACAAATTTTACATTGCATGAATGACATATTTTGAAAAAAACTTGTATAATTCCATAAAAAATTTGTAGGTGTACATTATATTATATTTTTATATTTAAATTTATGTATTTAAAAAAAAATTAGTAAGTAAAATCCTAATTTTTTACTGTAGGTATCAGCGCATGCATTTTCTCGGTTAACCAATGTCGAACATCTGATAATGCCTTCAGGTATTCGTCAAATACAACCAGACGCTTTTAACGGACTTGATTGTGTGGGTTTACTTAAATTATCATTCATGGATTTGACATCATTAAAAGCACATACATTTAGGGGATTGAGTCGAGTACACGTATTGGCCATTCAAGATTCTGACTTGGGTGTAATAAGATCTGAAGCTTTTTTAGGGCTAACACATGTTGGGAGTTTAAATATATTAAATAATAAAATTGACTCCCTTCAAAAATTAGTGGTAACTCGGCAAAATCAAGTAAAACACTTTCGATTTAATGGAAACCATGTTCTTGATAGCCCTAGGAAAGGTATGGTTGATATTGTCGCTTTGGACGGATTTTCAATGATGAGCAATCATTTTCCTTGCGATTGTCACCTATTTCGGTTTTTAGACAAGCGTCCTTTTGGTCGCAACGCGTCTACCGATTGGTTTTCTGGCAAGAACTTTTGTATATCTCCTCTAGAATTTAATGGACAACCAATAAGTGTTGTTAAACAAAGTGTTATCGATAAATGTTTAGAGAGTTCATCAGCTGTATCCTATAGATATGCCATTTCAATTTCTTATTTAGTGGCTTCATTTTATAATTTTTTATTACTAGGTTACTTAAATGTAAAATTATAAAAGAACCAAGATTTTTTCACTATAACTCTTTATTGTGAATAATTTATTAATTATAAATATCGTAAAAATAATAGTTATTTCAAATAATTATACAACATGTTTAAATTTGATTATATATAAATTTATATATTGTTATGTTAAGTTTAATTATTTATTTTATGTAAATATGTAATTTAAGTAAATTGTCTATTCTCACTATTAAACTTACATACTAAACTGAATGTTCATTTATAAAAAAAACGCACTTTTATTTAATAACTACAGGTATTTTTTAATTATGATATTCTTATATGATAAAAAAGTTATTAGGACTGTGTTATAAAAAAGTACTTAGTATTAAATTAATTATTTGTATTTTTAACGGCTTATGAATTTATTTTGTTGAACTTTGGTTTCTCCTTAAAAAAAAAACAATGAAATATATTGTAAACATTGTACAATAAAGTATTGGTAGTCCCAAATATACTTGGGACTACTGACTAACTATTTTTTAGAATACCTAAAAATACGTTGTAGAATTTTTAAAGTCTTGTTCTTTAATAATTTAAATGGGCAAGCATTAATTTTATTTTGAGTAAATAAAAAAGTAAGTTGCAGAAACTGATAACGTGAGCAAATAAATCGTACAGTTTCATTAATTGAATATAAATGGCAAACTGGACTAATTTACCATAATGAAATTATACTGTATATTGTTTTACTAAAGTCTGTTGGTTCATTAAAGTGCACTCAAGACTCGGCGGATATCAAAGCCTTGGAAACTTCAACTTGTTTATTAGCAACAAACAAAGTAAAGGCTAGTTTTGGTACCGTAGTGACCGTTAATTAAGAGTTAGGGTACCTTTGCAAAATAGTCAATGGATTGAATATTTAGTTATAGAATACTCTATCACATAAATTCATTTATTAAGTAGTTAAGCGAATACATTCAAAAATACAATTGCGATTAGTATTTTATTCATATACAAGTATAAGTATATAAGTGTAGTGCATAGTAGTATTACATATTACAAGATGGAGCAGATCTAACTAACGACTCTGATAAATTCTGATACAATTATCATTACGCTATTATTTTAATTTTATACTTTTAAACTATATTAAAAGCGTATTTTTGTTTCGATGTGTATCCGAGAAGCTATTGGAGAAGCTACTGAATAGATTTCCTCAACGATACGTAAAAAGATCACAAAACATATCTGGTTATTAGTACCACGATTTTAAAAAATTCTCTTAGTCCCGATAATAAAATGAAATGAGGATATTTTTTTTTAATTCAAAACAGCTAATTTTTAGAGATTTCTACAAAAAAAATTTTAATGGATATATTAATATTTAGAATAATTACTTATTTAGTTAAAATCGTTTTAATAGAAGATTGATTAGCAACACGGATGGGTTCAACTAGTACTGAAATTTATATTTACAATGCAGAAATATTAAAAAATATGCTTTTAACGTAGTATAGGAATACAAAAACCATTTAAAAAAATTACGATAAATAATTAAGCAAAAGTTGTAAGATTTGTCAGTTAGATTTGTTCCACCTTGTATATAACAAGGAGTGATACGTTTTCTATATTTTAGGTAATATCATCAAAAGTATAAGATATTTTATCTTATCATCAAAATGTACAGAATGGACATTTTGAAATTTATAATATATGTTATTTATACAAGGCGATCGGCTGATTATGTCTCACGTAATATCTTTAAAAGTACAAATGTTATAAACAATTTTTTTTCTAATCATTATGGATATTTGATAAGCTGTTTTACAAGAAAAATTAAATTTCTATCATCATCCCTTATACTTAGAATTTGTATCAACTTCAGATTTTCAAATGGCAACCCAATATTATTTTTGTTCGTCAAAACAAAAAGAAATTATAAATTATAAATTTTGAACAAGATACTTTTAAAAATTACGATATTTGATGAAAAAATTCAGTAGTTTTTCCAACACAGTCACATTATTTTAAGTAGCGGTAAGAGCTACTGGTTTACTGTGTCAACGCACGTAGTCAGAATAACTAAGGTAAGCTTGGTATGTTTATTTATAAAACTGGTAGCGCTAATCAATTTATGATCTATAACGTTCGAGTCTGTTATAATTTATTTTTAATAAATCCTACATTTCAGAGAGCAATGGAGTGCTTAATACTAAATAAAATAAATTATTTTTTTTACAAAATATTTTTTTTTTATTAAACTAAATCTATTGGTGTAAAAAAAATATAAGGTTGCTATTTGAAAATATGAAGTTGATACAAGTTTTAAACATAAGGGATGATGATAAAAATTTAATTTTTCTCGTGAAACAGCTCATTAAATAACCATAATGATTAAAACAAAAAATTGTTTATAACACTAGTATTTTTAAAGATATTATGTGAGATATAGTTAACCGATCACCTGTATAGTGCAATGATAGATATAATAATGAATCACATGAAAATATGGATGAATAGTAGAAATTCAATCGATTTTTTATTCAAAAGTCGACTTCATGTAAATAGATTTTAAAATAAATTTTATTAGGTAGAATTAGCGATTTTTTTTTAAATTAAACTTTAATGGTCAATAATCACGTCGACGATATAAATATTTTTTTACGTGCTTAACCAGAATCAGGGTGTATATTTATTTATAAAACTATATATATATATATATATATATATATGCGCTTATTGTTTATTCATTACCTCTATCCTGTAACCACCCGCATTACCTTTTCCATGCCTATCACTCTTCGGACTAGATTGGCACCGTATTTATGTATCGACGTGGCTATTGAATATGACCGTGGGGAAAGCAAGCAACATTCTGCCGTGTAGATTATAAATTTATCATTGTTAAATTCAATTAAAACTACCGTAATCGAATAAAATCTGTATTGTTTGTGGAAAGGAACGTGAAATTATTACCCAAAGATTGTATGGGGTATGATGAAATTCAAATCGCTTTTATCTCGTTATTACAATAGAATAACAACTGGATATTTTCATTGCAATACTGCCAGGGGATCTTAATTTACGAGCATGAAACAAGATGAATAAATGTCGAAAAAACGAATGCAATATTATATAATTTTAAATTGTTTTTTACTCATAATAAATCGGTAGATTCAATTTCTTATAGATTTACTACATTTTGTTAAAAACGATGTAGTAAATTTTTATGAAATAATTATAATTTACTCCGTTTGTTTAAATTAAATTAAAAATTTTTATTTTATTTAATATAAATGTAAGTTGGTAATGTTGTAATGTTGGTCTAAAAATATATATAAATCAAATTAATTTGTATAAATAATCATGAGATAAAGTTTTTTTGTTGAATGATTTTAAATTTTATGTAATTTATTTTGTAAATTTTTAAATTAAGGAAATACCTAAAATCAAATAGTATTTTTATTACTCAAATTTTTTTCCAAGTACAATAAACGATTCATACGGTAAATATTTACTGGATATAATTAGAAAGCTATAATAACCAACGTAGAAATTAAATTTTACAGTTACAGTTTGAAACTAAGCATAGTATAAGAAAAGCAAAAAGTGAACAGACTTTTACGTGCATCATATTGCAACGTATTTTTAAATCCTTTGACAATTCCTTTTGTGAGCTGTATTGAATGAATTTGATATTGTCTTTACAAATAAACTTTTACCTTTTTCAAAGTTCTGTAGTTTAGTAAAGATACTCATATTGGCTCTAAATTCTTTGTATTATCATAATGACTTTATATGCATGCACCCTGTTATTAAGGCTGGTTATTATTTTGCAAGAAAATACAATACAAAAAATGTATAATATTATTTACTAGAAAAGAAGGATAAGGCTCATTATTGTTTTTACTAACAGTAGTATTTTTATTGCGTTTTAAATAGAAAAAACCTTAATACTATGTGTTTACCTGTCTACAGTTTTTTAGCTTAATAGTTGATATAGAATGATTCTTTTAACACTAGTCATTAGATTTCTATTAAATAAGTATTGTATCTCCATTTATCTGTTATAAAATCATTCTTAAATCCTTGGGAGTGTCAACTATAAACTAGTTTCTAATCAAAAAAATTCTTACCGAAAACAACTTTTTGGGAGTTATTAACATTTTAAAATTAGACTAGAGGTGAAGCAAAGATGTTGCTATCTTTATTATTAGACGTTTCTCGGACAAACTCCTACTTGTGCTTAGGTCCAAAAATGTGAATATCTATCGAAGCGTTAGTTCAAAAGTTGTTATTGACCAGTCATTTTCTGTATTTCATAATTTTCCATTTTTAATTATTTAATATATATTTTGGCATTTAAAAAATAAAGTTGGCATCCGTATAAGATACAAGAGATAGATATAAAAATTATTTTATAACAGATAAATAAAGATACATTTATATTTTCATTCATATTTCTATAAAAATAAAGATAGACGAAAAATAAAGTAAATGAACATAAACAAAATTAAATGTCTCGCATAGCAGTTAAATGTTTGTGATTAAAAATGATTTTCATTACGACTTTTGATCAAATATATATACCTGTCTATATTATGTAATTTGTTTGTCCTATGAATATACCCTATTCTATCTCTTAATTATGTCCATGCTTTTATATTAGAAAATCAATAATGCTTAAGTCAAATTAACAAAAGTTACTATAATGATATTTATTGATATATACTTGCTCTATAAAATAATTATGTATTGAAATTAACTAACTAAAATGAATAGAGTATTAATTACAACCATATTTTGAAACGCATTATTTTTATTTTTTTATATATTCTAGGCATGGTACTTATAAATAAGGTTATTTTACTATATTAGGAAATCAAAATAGGATTATTAAACATTTTTCACCGAATTGTAAAATTTCCAATATATTTGATTATTTTTTTGTTAAATATCTGTATTTTTTATTCATGTAGATATAATTTAAAAAAATAGTAATTGTAGTATAAAAAATTTTTTATGTCATAATTATTTTATTTGGTCTCATATATCTCGTAAAATAAAAACTTGAAAAAAAAAATCATAATAAGTCTTTGTTAATTTGCTTATATTACAATGGTTTTAATGTAAAAGTTTTCCAGATTTTTTATGTGGTAAAGAAAGCTTTTATGATAATTAAAGTTTAATCTAGAGCAGTTTTACTTCTTAGCGGAGTGCATAATTTAATTATTCGATGTTTTTTTTTTAATTTTGTATTATCTTGATCAAATTTGTTGAAAATAATGGAATCAAAATCAATATTTTAAAATTTAAACGTTATAATTACTATTTTTTTTAAATAATAAAATGGTTAATTCGATTAAATCTTCAGTGTTTATTAATACAATAATGAATTGGGTTGGTTGATATGTATGTATACAATAATATATATAATAAATATACATTTTTATTATTTATAGATATAAAATAATGTTAACATTTTTTTATATTAATAATTAGTATATTTGAAATGTAATTTTTAAACAAATATTATAGTTATTTTATAAAATAATAATTCTGTTCAAACTAAGGATTTCATATTTTATACTGAAAGTTGAATTCTGAGTGATAATTTACAGAAACAATTGTATGTATCGTGGTGTCATTACTATAACAGCCTGATATTTATACGATCATTTGGGCCGAGCTTAGTATGTGTTCAGTTACAAACTTGTTCTAAGTTTCTGTTTTGTTATTATTATAATTTTTCTACGTTTTATTTTATTTATTACAACATCTCAGAGTTACACCGTGAAATATAAGTAATGACAATGATAATAACGACCACAAGCGAAGATATATTTTTCTGATGTAAATATGATGGCTGCTAGTAAAGTTACTGTCATTCCAAGAGAGGCATGAAAGGAGGTGATGAGGGCCGAGTCATAGCGGACGAGAAAACCCACGTTGTGGATTTAACAGATAGCTCGTTTTTAGAATAATGAAAGGTTTGCCGTATACATAAATTAGCTGTCGGCTGTTTTATGGTTGGCCGTATTCGCGCAACACGTTGTTGTTTGTAATATAAATAATCGTAAAATATAAAAGGTGTCAACGGGTTACTTTTTCAACAAACATTTGATGATATTTTTCTTTTCAACTACGCCAGTACCCCTAGTGCTGTCTGGGCTGGATGTACAAACACTTTTTACACTTACCTTATTTTTATTTTATTATTGACGGGAAATTGCGTGCAAACGCAAAGGGTTACCTTATTTCCACTTTTAGTAAAGGTGAAAGACAAAAAAAAAAAAATGGATACGGATATCGGCGAGCGTCAACCTTTAGGCTATTGCAACACTTTTTTACCCAATATACAATAATGTTTACTTTGGACCATTGTCTAACACTTAGACTTTATTTTACACTTTCATACATATTAATTCTGTTATTAATTAGGTTGCTAAATTAATTATGTTAAAAACTTGAAAATTACATAAATGTTAAGTGTAGTATGATTGATTTTATTGTTGATAACTAAATATCTCCCAAAACAATAATATTAATAGTTTTTATTAAATTAATTTTTTTATTTATGAGTTTCTAAATATTTTTTAGGTCGATCCTTTATATCATATAAGGGTACCAACTTTATTTTTTTAAACAGTAACAAATTTATTTAATAAAGGTCTTCAGCAATATTTTATAGAACACATATATCATGCCGATATTTTGGATATTTTATTACTACATCGAAATATATTGATATAATAATAGATTATCGTTTTTTTTCATAATTACATAATATTTTTGGTGCCACATTATTGGTGCATATTAAAATTGTAATAAACTGTTACGAGTGTGGCAAATTTCCATGTAAAATTTATAAAAAAATAAAATTTTATTTTCGACAAATCCATTTATATCGATTTTGAATATATCGATATTCATAATAATATGATATTTCAATACAATATCGGTATCAAAGTTTTATCGATATTTAATAATCGTTGATGATCCCTATATTATAAGCTTTTTATATATTACTTAATTAACTTATAAAATAGAAAAATAATCTAACTAAGAAAATAAAAAGTCTATAAAAACTTTTAGATCAGTAATTTGAAAGTTATTAACATTTTTATACTTTGACAAAAAAAAGAAGTAATAATGTAATAATATTGTAAAAATTCATAACGTATCTCAGTTTATTATTAAAATTGCCATAAATTCTAAAGTACTATTCCAAAATTTGTTATCGACCTATCATTTTCTTAATTAGACAATTATTTTATAAGTTAATTAATATATATATATATATATATAAATCAAGTTGCCACGGATTATTTAATATGGATACACAAATGTTTATTTTTAAATACATATTAGTTTGTTGTTGCATTTAGTCCAGAAGAGCTAGTCTTTTGTGCTTATATACTATTAAAAACAGTCACAATAAATTGTGAAAAAAGTATTTTGATACATTGATTTTTTGAAAACAATTAAATTATAATGAAAGTAAAAAAATTCTTTCGTCGGTTGGCAAGGGCCTTTACGTGTTGTCTTTCCAAAAAGCAGCGTAATATAAATGGTATAGTATCTTAGCTTAGTGTAGCACAGGTGTTTTTTTAATGAAATTTAGCTTAACACGATAGACAACAAAAATTCTCTCGATATCTAGTGTTTTCACACGTACGTAGAATTAATACACCTATTTATTTGAACATGTAAATGCAGTGTAGATTTACATATTCGGTATTAAAAAATTCATTTATGATTTTTTTTTAAATTAACTATAATTAGACTAATTATTTTTGCAATTTAATGTATTATTAATTAGAAAGCACGGACTGTTACTTAAGTCCAGTTAGTAGTCATGATATTCAGAATTCAGGAACTCAAACAATGACGACGTTAGAAAATGTATCTAATGAAAGGGTAAATATTGTTGACAATAACCTTAACAAGACTCCTGAGGGATGTAAAATGTTCGAAAAGGAGGTTCACGAACTTGGTATGGCAGAGTCTATAATAGCAGATATTGAAGTAGCAGCCATTGTGGAAAAGAGTAAGCAACAAGAGGGTACCATAAGTTTTTTAGAAATTGTTTGAATTTAAAATTGATATACATTTAATACTGAAATTTGTATACATTTTTATAAAAGCTTAAAAATTTTAAGATAAATATTTTTGCAATTTACTGTGTTATTAACTAGAAGACAAGGAGTGTTACTTAAGTCCAGATAGTAATCACGATATGAAATCTGGCACAATGCACAACGAGGATTCAGGAACTAAAACAACGACTACGTTAGAAAATGTATCTGATGAAAGGGTAAATATTGTTGACAATAACATTAACAAGACTGTTGATGGATGTGAAATGTCGGAAAAAGAGGTTCACGAACTTGGTATGGTGGAGCCTAACATAACAGATGTTGAAGGAGCAGCCATTGTGGAAAAGAGTATGCAGGAAGAGGGTACCATAAGTTTTTTAGAAATTGTTTGAATTTAAAATTGAAATACATTCAATACTTAAATTTGTATACATTTTTATAAAAGCTTAAGCATTTTAAAATAAATATTTTTGCAATTTACTGTGTTATTAACTAGAAGACAAGGAGTGTTACTTAAGTCCAGATAGTAATCACGATATGAAATCTGGCACAATGGACAACGAGGATTCAGGAACTAAAACAACGACTACGTTAGAAAATGTGTCTGATGAAAGGGTAAATATTGTTGACAATAACATTAACAAGACTGTTGATGGATGTGAAATGTTGGAAAAAGAGGTTCACGAACTTGGTATGACGGAGCCCAACATAACAGATATTGAAGGAGCAGCCATTGTGGAAAAGAGTAAGCAAGAAGAGGGTACCATAAGTTTTTTAGAAATTGTTTGAATTTAAAATTGAAATACATTCAATACTTAAATTTGTATACATTTTTATAAAAGTATAAAAATTTTTGCAATTTAATGTGTTATTAATTAGAAGACATGGAGTGTTACTTACGTCCAGTTAAAACACGTAGATTTAAAAAAGGTACTATATGCTTCTTCGGGAAAAAGAAGAATTCTGGCACGATAACTACAGATAATGGGCAATGTTATAAGTTCTATAGAGTAAGCATATTATTTTATCGTCTTCACTGTAATATGACAAAACTGGGTAATCAACATTTTGAGATTTTATTTCGGTTTTATATATATTTATAATATTTTATTTATTCTAACAAAATGCTTTTAACTTTGAAATATTTTAAGGTTTTCATTATTATTATTTTAATTAATAATAAAAAAACAATTATTTATTATGTTAATAAATCTTGAATATTTTTCGGGGGATATTAAAGAATAAAAAAAAATTTATTTAAAGTTATATACAATAGTGTATTTTTGTTTCCCTCGGAATAATTAAAAATATCGAGATATGCATGTAGGCACAAAAGTGAACATATATTGATTAAATAGATCCTAAAGTTTAAAATTATCTTTTTTTCAGGAAGATTTAAATTTAGGTTTTGATCGACCTTTTAAATATCCACAAAAAGTGAAATTTGTTGTTGATGATACACAGCCCAAATGGGCCTATGATGTAGAAATAATTGGAGACCCTTATGTTCGAAGGTAATGTAGAATGGTTTAATATCAAAAATAATCAAATTAATACTGTTTCGTATCTACAGGTGCTGTTATTGTTTAAAAGATGATCATCTTGGTTTAGAAGACTGTATGAAGTTACAGATAGATTCGTATAATTTTTACTATCCTTATTTATAACATAACGGTACAAAACCAGCAGTTTGTGATATTTATTCTGTTAATGTTTCAATTAAACTTATAAATTATCAATAAAAATTATATGTTATAAAGTTAATACTTAAAAAATAATGTATTTTAATAATATTCTATGTTATTTCTAATTCGTGATAAATATATTTTCATTAATTAAAGATTCTTTTGATTAACATATTTAATATAATAATTATAGATAGATGTATGTTAAAAATACATATCCTTCAAGAGAAAGAAAAAATAGATTTCTTTTAAATTACAAATGTATACAATGTTTCAACTAATTTTAGAAATGTTATATATATATATATATTGCTATAAATTAAATATGTAACTCAACGTATTAACAAACTTAAAACAAAAAATTGTGACATCCAACGATCCTTTTGGAAGAAATTGTCATTGCCACAAAAATTCATATTTTGCTTATTAAAAAGAAAAAAAAAAGATAGCACAGTGAGGTCGTGGCACAGTGTGTAGGTGGCATAGATGGGACTAATAGTGATTAAAATCTCTATTATAAGAAACGCTTCGATGTAAATCTATAGATAGTGTTTAATTCTAAGAAATTGGTGGATAATTACAAAAGCAACATCAACTCCTATTTCTTTAATTATATCCTGATTAGGTTCTTTGATTTAAAAATATAATATTTGAATAAATACTAATTATAATATTTAAATTANAAAAATATAATATTTGAATAAATACTAATTATAGTATTTAAATTTAGTATGAAATTGATATTCAATATTTTAATATTCTAATTTATACGGAGAAATTATTAAAATAATAAAGTAGTTCTATAGTTCTTTACTTTTAACACGTATAAAATTTAAATGGCTTGATGCAATACTTTTCAATAAAAACTATCTGTTACTTATGAATAAATATACTGGACTACAAGGAACTTTCATCAGAATCAAAAAAAAAAAAACTATTCTAAATGGACTGTTTGCGCTGTTTTCAAATCTTAAAATAGATTTTTTCTATCCCTTCTAATATTTGATATTATTACTCAAAAGAAAAGAAATTAATTTTCAAATTATTACTGTTTTTATTTTCAATATGTAAGAAATAATTAGTGCAAANATAAAAGAAAAAATTTGTTTTCAAATTATTACTGTTTTTATTTTCAATATGTAAGAAATAATTAGTGCAAAATGAAATTTACCCTACTTTTTTGGTTTTTTAAAATTATTTTTGTGAAAGTTTATAAGAAAAAAGGTGAATGTGTACCATAACTTTTTGTCCAACTTGCAAGCCGAGAAAATAAATGATAGTCCCAAAAAAAACCATATTGTAAAAGAATTTTATATGAATGAGATATTTCTTTTCACGAGGGGAGACTTCAGTGATGGGGTCCTTGATATTCATTGCATATTTAATCTAAATGAGATAAAAATGAAACAAAATTTAAATTTTTTTCACCTTAAAAAGAATTAATCATATGAGTTGATAATATTATTCTAACTCAAGAAATATTAAGAAAAATAACCAAAAAATTCTTAGCCACAGGCGGGTTTGAACATCTTACTACAAACGCGTAAAAGAAGCAAAAAATTGAAATATGTTTAACTTTTTATTGTATGTCAATTAGATTTATATAATACACCCAGAGAAAAACCTCGATCTATATAATAAATTCATTGTTCAATTTGATAAATACGTATATCATTACTATTGAATCTATGATATATTTATCAATATGATAATTTATTTTCTTGTCTTGAACAATAATTATTTATAAGAATAATTATTTTGTTCGTATTAATAAAACATTATCATAAACCCTTGATAAAATTTCTCTATCAAAATTGATTGAGGTTTTTCTTTGGGTGTATTTATGAAAATCTATGTACTCCCCTTGTAAGGTATTTTAAAATCTAATAAAATACAAAACCGATAATATTGAAACAAATATTGCATTTTTTGAATACGATAGTCATTTTTACTATGAAGGCAAGTCGAGATGTCAATTTAAATAAAGTTTATTACATAACCTTTAATTTAAGGCATATTTGAAGGTATAAGTATTTCATAAACATTTTCAAAAGTTAATTTGAAAAAGTTATTATTTTGTGAAAAAATTTTGAAACCCCCCTGTGGGCAGGTAAATATACACAAAAATATATCAAATAATAATTAAATACTTAAGGTATCTATATAAAAAAAATTATATTGACTTGTTCATTTTTAAATTACCGATTCTTAAAATTGTAATTGTTTTGGGGGGAACCAGGGAATTTGTTTCAATTTTTGAGAATAATGTCTTCGACTAGATACAATTTGTATCGTCATAACATAATAATGTTATGACGTATTGTTCATCAAAATCGGTTCAGTGAGAACTGAGATAGAACGCTCACAGACATACAAAAAAAAAAAAACGAGTTATAGTAAAATTAATATCTTCTCAGCTTCGCATCAAAGATAATATTTAAAATAAAACTTTAAATTTTAGATTTTAAAAAATAAGTATATATCAGATATATTTTAATATTTTAATATTTTATTAAACACAATATGAAATAAAATAAATTTCAAGTTATAAGCAGTGTTTTCGTTTTTATTAACATTTAACTCTATTAAACTATTCAGTTTTGACTTAAACAATTGAGTTGCAACTTAATAAAAAATAGTACCATTCAATTATTTACAATAAAATCGTTCTTAACATATTACAGTAATTTTTTTACCAATAAAAACTTTATAGGGTTTTTTTAATTTGTACAATACATTTGATATCTGATCAATTCGAGTTTAACGTAGTTTACGATTTTGATTCTCAACAGTATCAAAAACTTACGTTATCGTCTAACACTCAATAACGTCGCATTATGTATTTTGTTTCTTATGTAAGTTTCAATTTAGATTAACTTGAGATAATTTTTAAACAAGAATATTTCTGTTTTAGTTTGTCGTAATTAAAGATTTCATCATAAATACTGCACTAAAATAATCATTTTGAATTAACGCACGAAAAGCGCTTACAGATTATGACAAAAAGTTTGAATAAAGCGAAAATATAAACCATTTTATGGATATGATTTATATGAGATATAATATTAAGAAAATGGCGAACTTGGTGTGTAACCATTAAGTATAAGTAGATACACTTATCGAATGATGTTTATCTGAAAAATGTTTATTACTATTTTATGTCTTAAATACAATCTATTGTTTTTATTCAAAGAAAATGATATATTTTGCGTATTTTATTTAAAAAAAATCATATAGTATTTTGTTTATATATTATTTTGATAATTTGAAATATTTTTTGAAATAAATATTTAGTTAGGTAGTTTTATATTCATGTGCATGTCATGTCTGAGTCAACTGTAGACATTTTCAATGTCTGAGTAACACATGTGTTCTGTTATTGTATAATATTGTCGCATTAAACTGTCAATTATGTTAAAAAATTAACGCATACATTGAGGATTAAATATATTTTATCTTATTAATATAGGTACATAGCCATTGAGTTTTACATAATTTGTTATCAAAACCTTAGTGTAAATAAATAAAAATAAACAACTTTTATATAATAAAAAATATGTAATTATTATGTTAAAAAATATTTATTTTCCTATGACATTTAAACTATATTATTAAACAAAAAACTGAACATATCTTAGTAACTATTTTACAACTTATAGTTACGATTGTTTAACAAATACAGGTAGCTAATTGGTTTTTAATGACATCGATATTAGCAGGTACACAGCATTGTTATTATCAATGGTAGTAAGGCACATTTTTGTGAGTTTATAAATACACTAAATGACAATACAGAAAGTATATCTATTGATAGTCATAATAATTATGTTTATCAATTATTGATAATGAACAATCCGTGACTGTGACATCAATGTCATAAAAAACCAATTAGCTACCTGTATTCGTAACCCCTTGTGTATTATATATATATATTAACTTAAAAATTTTAAACTTTAAATGTTTATATCTAATAAACAAATAAAGTTAAACTAAAAGTTCAAATGCCATTTACTATTAATTTAAACATTCTAATATTTTATTAAATTTAAAGTATGTGTTCCCATTTAAAAAAACAAAGTTGACACTCTTACCAGGTATAAAGGGTGAACTTAAAAAGTATTATATAGTTGTTAATTCAAGAATAATGTGTAACTAAAGACAATACAAAAAAAATGTGTTAAATTATATTTATTATGTAAGTAATTGAGTGGATTATGATAAAAAAAATCACTCTGTACAGTTTGATAAATTGAAAACCAATAAATTGTTTTTTATAGTAAGAAATATGCGTAATTCACAAAAAAACTATTAATTTTTTAAAACTTTTTATCATAATAATGAAAAAGTTATATAAAATAAAATCATTCAATCTTAAAGATTTTTAATGCTAAAAATAATATTGTAATTGAATTTCATTAACATATTTAGTTTTTAATGTATGTAAAAATACTGGTCAATATTATTGCTAATTGCACTAACAAATAAAAGAAAAATTTTAAATGTACCAAATCTGTTTTAATATTTCATGCTGATTTCAAATGTAGAATTAAGATTTTTCTACCACTTTTAGTATATGATACAACTTTTATTATTTACATCCAGAAAAATTTAATAAAAATAAAATTTTTTTACTTTACGTGAACATTTTTTTTCAAGTTCATGTAATGTTTAACCAAAGAATACAGGATAATTTAGCGTCTCCAAAAAAAAAAATTAATGTGGACATCGTCACAGCGTTTCAATTCAGGACTTCCTCATGCTAAATGGGACGTTTGCGCACTCTTGTTAAGTTGTAATACAAACATCAGTTGCAGTAATTATTTATACTTAATTTTTCAACTTGTTGTAATTCTGAACTGGAAAGTTGATATATTGAACTTCTGTTTAAATATTTTGAAAGTATATTATCGAAATATTTAACATCTAACACTTATTAGTAATTTAAGTTTAATTATTAATTTTAGAATAAAATACTTTCTCAGTTTTAAATTGAAGCTAAAAAACAAGTGTATCACTTAATAATAATACAAGTTAAAAACAACTATCATATAAAAAAATAATATTTGAAAATATGTTACAACTTGCCTCAAACAATTTATTATATTTTATTTAGACCTTATTTTCTTTATTGTAAATTTAAAAGTAATTCAGTATTTATATGTATAAATATAAACTCTTTTGAATTTGGACAACATTTACATTTCAGCACAATTAATGTTAATAATTAATGACAAAAAGTTAAAAAACAAAATAAAAATATATTTTTACTGTTGACTGTTATAACCGTATATTTGATTATAGTCATTTCTATATAGATAAACGGACTATTAGATTAAACGGAGTACTTTCAGAACTCAGTCATAAAAATAAAAATAATGTATCGAAATATAGAGGGAAAAGCACTATACAACTGATCTGTATTAAGCTAATAATAAATATTTAGGTATTTTAAGTATTTAGGTAAAGACGATTATTGTTCTGATCAAAAGGTTCATCTTTGTTACATTCAGGAATATTAAAGTAAGACTGGATTGTTCTGTTATGAGAATAACCATTTTGTTGATTTGATTTAGATATCCAACAAAATAATTATCAAACTATTTGATGAAATAGAATTATCAAGTTTAAAACCTCTTTAAAATTTGTCTAATAAATTAAGTAAATAATAATTGTGTTATTGAATACGTTTACGAATTTACGTTAACATTTAAAATCAATTACCTATTTTTTTGATTTGTTTTAAAAGCCACGGTGTAATCAGCATAATAATGAATAGTACAGAAAATATTCTAATTTATTTTAAACTGGTAGTAAACTTTTGGAATAATTAATAGCTGTTAGTCGAGAATAAGTAAATAAACTTTCACTTTCCTCGTACCAAGATTTAGTCACGGTTGACTTTTAGTCATATAGGCTTCTTGTTTTGGTGAATATACACTAAACGGAATGTGTTAGTGAGTTGTTTAAGTCTCAAGTGGCTAATGCGCATATGGATCAAGTCTATGCTCAGGTCGGGACCAATCGTATGTTAAAACTCCGGCCAGTTAAAATGTGCACACCAACTTTTCAACGTTGTAAGGGTAATTTAATTAAACTTTCAGGAGCATCTTGATACTTGCAGGGAAAGTATGTTTTTTAATTATCCGAACTGCTTACTTCCTCGAAACATTTTATTTTTTTTTTAGAGCTACTTATACTGCTTTTGGTACATTACATGAAAAACTATTGTCGAGTTTATTGGTACTTAGATTTATTTAAACTTATACAGTTATAAGATAATGTTGTAGCTATTAATTACTAGTGATTATTAATATTTATATTATTATTTTCCTAAATTTATTAAACTAAAGTATAATTTTAGTTGTTTTTAATGTTTTAATTCTACTGTATTCTACACTTTGCGGAATATTAAATTTTATTTTTATATGCTTATTAGATATGTTTTATGTATAAAAATCCAGATGTCCTAAATTTAAATATATAAATCATATATTATTATTAGAAATAAATAGATCTTTCATAAAACAAAACAAATATTTGCATGTTATGATTAGGACTAAGGCGAATTATTGAATAATTAAATTAATTTTAGGTATCTATACTCATAAAAAAATTATTCTATTTGAAATAGAAATCAAAGGTACATAATATAAATTATCTTAAAATATCTTGTTAGTAATAATATTTCCTTTTCTGAAATATTTTTTATTTTAAACAGAAAATTTAATATTTTAAGATTGATTTTTTAACGTATATATTTAACAAATAAGTGTGCCCCAAAATTTTGTTGAAATTGTTTTTTTTAAAGATTTATTTGTTCGATTCTTGTCACGTATAAATAATTTTTCTCAATCTTGGAAATTACAAGAAGGTGGACTTGTTGATATAATTTGATGTTGCCATCGTTTTTCAGACCACAAGCACGTAATCAGTAATTATCATTCTATTGGCATTATTTAACTAAAAATAGATTACTATAAAGAATTATTGTAGAAAATTGCATCAATTCAAATATATTTTATGACTATTTATAGTTAATTTAGTGTTGTAATAGCTAATATATTTATTTATTACATTTAAACAAAATAATAAATTACAATTTAAATTTCTGTGTAATTCTGCATATTCAAAAACAATACAAAATATACCTTACGTTAATTTTTTAAAAAAAGTATATTTATTGATCAAAATTTGCAGACATAAATTTGCTACACAGAATTATTTTGGTTGTTTATAAATATGGATGAGAAGCATGGAAAAACCTATAGACAAGTAAAAAATATGAGTAAGGTTTTGACAATTTTATAAATATAATAAATACATTGTTTAACCGTATCTTGTGTCTGCAGAGAAAAATGAAAATAATGTTATTTGAAAAGAAATAAATATAATGTAATATGAGTTGGTAGGATGATATTTAATACTATTTTTATGTATATATATATGTGTGTGTGTGTGTGTGTGTGTATATAATGTACTTTTTCTTTTGTTTGTTATAAATTTACAACACTATCGACTATCTTCTAGATGTTTTACTTGACACTAGATAATCATAATATAATATAATTTTGATGTGTTTACTATAACCAAACAATCTAGAAATAATTTATGAAATAAGAAACCATACCAAATTAAGAGTTAAATTATTTATTACTGAAATAATATTAACAAATCATTGATGTTTTTTAAGATTACGAAGACATTTAATTGTAAGCTTTATTATTTTGTAATAATTGTTTTTCCTACTTATAAAATTTATTTTTCATATTATAGAAATAATTGGCATTTGTTTTAGATGAAATCATATGGTTTTATTTAAAGAATATTATATACACCTATATAAAGTTAATTTTTTAGGATGTAATTTATATTATCTCAAATATTTTTCTTGAAAGGATAAAAAATTGTTGTTTTTTCGGATACTACAAAGTTTAATATTGTATTGTCATTTATAAACAAATATTAATAATTATTGTAATTACTTTATATTTATAGATTAAGATCTATTCAGGCTCCTGAGTGGTACCTCAAGATAGACTTCCCTATGGAAAATATCGCTATCATAAAAATGTGATGAGCAAAAAACCAGAAAACCCGTGTCACTAATTATGAAGGGCTAGTAAAATTTGTGATGAGTCCTCAAGTTCATAGACTCTTGGGTGTTCCCTCGCCCTCTTAATCCAGGTCTAAACAAAAATTAAACAGATCATTCTCAAGCTAATCATTTAAATCTTTTGTAAAGATCAATAAATCTTTTTATTTATATCCCATATATTTTACAACCAAATTTAAATGAGATTTACAAGTTTTTTAGAATTCAATTATGGATAAAATAAAAATCTACTTAATAAAATAATTCAATATAATGTTTGAATTAAATTAAGATTTGCATGACATATTGAGTTAAAAAAAATTATTTTCGAGAAAAAAAACATTTTTTGAATGTAAATCGTAAAAATTTGTGCCTTATAATGGTTTACTTATTTAGTGTTCTTTTTAAAAATATTAACCCAATTTTTTCGTTAAATATTGACTTTTTATAAAAATGTACAGTTTGAAAGTTAACCCATTTTTATTAACCATAGTAAACATTAAATTTATCTTAAGAAAACAATTTTTTTTATGGATTGATTTTAGGGATAACTTTCAAAATTTAAGTGGGAGCTTATTATTATTAATTGGATACATGTTGACTGGTTGATAACCAGTTAGTAATATTACTTTTTTATTTGATATAGGTGAGAGAGGTACACAACATTAAAGAATTCTTATATTTACTTTATGGTAAAAATAGAGCATCATCAAATACTAATCTATTTCACATATTTTCTATTATTTATATTTATATGTAAATATTTTAAAATACAATATTACAAAACTAGTCTTTATTTTATAGTAAAATAATAACAGAAGGTTCCTATTGAACTTTTGAAAGTTACCCCTAAAATCTTTCCTAAAAAATATTTTATTTTTACATGTTGTAATAGGTCCTTTACATAAAAACACTATTTCTCTCTCTTTCCTTTCATTTCTCAACACAAACAAAGATTCTATTATACTTCTCACAACAAATACTATACACAATCAATATTATCTGTTCTTAATCACAGCCAAACACATAGTTGACAGAATCACGCCATAGGATGTCCTTTTTCACTGCACGTGCACCCTTCAACAATCAAATGTTTTTTTTTATTATTTTCAGTTAAAGAACCCCTTTTCAATGTATAAACAAAATCATGAAATTCCTAAAAAAATGTGAAGCAAATGAAAGCCGGACGATGAGTATGTGCGTCTTTGGAAGGTGTTACAGGAAGGACACCAGGAGAGATTCAGGGATGGACGCGCTCGACCTGTTTTCGATTGAATTCTAAGACCAACACGTCGTATTCATTGTCTGGTTCTTGCAAGCTACCCTAATTTAACACCACAGAATAATTATAAATGTATTTATCAATATATAAGCTTGTGTTTATTAACTAAGAACAATATCTCTCCGTAACTTCACGTGATGTAATTACCTTTTAATTACAATTACAATTTTACAATTATTTTATATAATCATACGTGAAATTATATTAATTATATTATTTTATCGTCAACAACTATCTGGCTTTGCGCTCTTTTTATTATTATTCTACACGCCTAAAGGACAGGCACGTAGACATGGGTGGGCCTGGCCCCCCTTAGATTTAATGTGGTCCAGAGCCGGCCCCCCCAAATTTAAAATTCAATTATTTTTACGAATTATCAAAAACGTGCTAGGCCTTATATACATTGAAATTATTATCAATTTGTGATTACTATTGAGTAATACAGTTATTATTATGGCTGTATTTTCATTTTTATATTCATAGAAAATGTTATTTGAAAAAGATAACGTTCTAGGCGTAATAATTAGTGGAATAGCAGTTACTCCAAACGTGGTTGTAGGTAAATTTTTTTTAACTCTGGTCCAACAAATGATAACAAACTACCAAGTATTTGCATTGATTAGAATCTAGTTGATTATAAAATTCGATAGAGTATACTCTATGAAAATTTTTTTGATAAATCTTATCTTTAATTTGTTTCTTTTTTTATAATTTAGTAGTTACAATAGGTAATTTATTCGTTTTTGTTAATTTGTTATTTGCATGCTTTAAATAATAGCAATAAAAATATGACTAAAAAAAGGCAGGAATTGTTTTTAATTTTAAATAAAATAAATTTTACATTGTTTATAATTTATATTTATTTAAAAAAATTTTATAACTTATTTGTTATTAGTATTTAGGTATAAATAATTTTTTTTTAATAGCTTAAAAGTTGAAAAATTAAATCAGCTTATGTTCACATCATTATTTTATTAGATTCGATGCGAAGCTGAGAAGGTATTGGTTTTACTATGATGTGTTTTTTTTTTTACTTTTTTGTGTTTGTTACCACTTTTTATCAGCTCTCACGGAACCGATTTCTTTAAACGATACGTCAAAAGATCAAAAATTGTATCTTGTCGAAGCCATTGCCCTCAAAAATTGAAAAAATTTCCCTCGTTTCTCGTCAATGGTGGAACCCCCCCCAAAATTACACATTTAAAATCGCTAATTTTTTCAATTTTTTCAATTTTTTTTACTTAAAATTGCCATAACTTTTTTATATAGATGCATGATATCGTTACTTTTCATTTGATATATTTTTTTTATAAATCTGACCCTTTACCTGCGCACGGGGGGGATTTAAAATAACAACTTTTTCACCAAAAATTAACTTTTTCCACTTAAATTTTTAAAATGTTCCGGAAAGTCTGACACTTTTATCTATATCTTAAATTAAAGCTTATGTAATGTACTTTTTTATTTAAAAAAATTTTAGACTTTATTTTGTCTTCACGGTGAAAATAGCTACCAAATGCTATTTTTGTGTGAAAATTCTCGATTTTGTATTTTACATTTTTAATTTTATAATGCTATAATTTTTTTATGAGAAATAATATTTTTTAATAATCCCTTTTTCATTCGACATATTTCATCTTAAGCAGCATATTAATAAGGAAATATCAGATCATGTAACTTTTGGAATAATCCACCTATTGTTTAAAAATAAACACAAATTTTGAACTTGTAAGATTCATAGAATGGGATACTGTCTAAGGTGGAGTGGAGGGAGCCCCCTACAAGCTTTTCATGGGAAACAAATTATGGAAAATGATACAAGGGCCAAAAATTGTTGGCCCCTCCAATAAACATTTTCTGGCTACGTGCCTGCTAAAGGATAATTAAAAGCTCCGGTAAGAACATTCAAACTTAGCTTGCAAATTAATATTAACAAACATAGACCCTCGAAAAACACACCCCAAGTAAAATAACAAGAATGGTTCCTTATATTCGATACCCTTTCCCCTTACCATATTTTTTGGTTTACGACATAAAATTTACTTGATATTTATCATAGTTTATAGAAATAAATCAAAAAGTAATCTATATATTTAATCAAAAAACCATATTTTATTAAATAATGTGGGGTAGTATCCATTTCAATATTAGGCAAAAAATTCACTGCTAGTTATGAGTAATGATTGAATGAATTATTAATAATAGTTTAATATATAAAAAGTTCAACTTTAAAACGCAATCTATTATTTTACATTTCACCTTGTGGAATAAAAGACTACCACTATGTTCTCAAATATTTTCACGCAGATAGCGTTAGAGTTATTATAAATACGTTAAGGGCTAGATAATGGTTTTTGGATTTTAGCTAGATTAATTACTTTAAATTACTTGAACTTTTTAAAGATCTATTGTATCCAATTGTTATAATACATATACCACTCACTATTCAGTAGTCTATAAATCATAAGTCTACTAGTCATCAAATTGATTGCACATTGTTCATTTGGTTTTATTAAACTATCTAGAGAAAAATGTATAAAAAATTCTTTGATAAAAACTTAATGTAACAACTATAAGGATTATTTAGGTATCACAATACAGCGACTTAAAGTAAGATAATCCATAATAACTAATACGATTGAGTTATAAATAGATAACAGTAATTGTTTGTGAAACATTTTGCATAAGTAGATGGATTAGATTAATAAAAAAGGTTGCAAAACTATCACTTCTGTTCATTCCTTCATTACTTTATGATCATATCGACCAATACAAGGAATGGTCTAGCAAATACTGTACATCACAAAAAAAATTAAGACCATTTTTTCAACCTTACTTCAAAGATCACAAAGGTAAACTTATAATTTATAGAAGATTTATAAGGTTTAAATTTAAGAGTAATAAGTACATAGATAAGAGAGGGAATCAGAAAAATTAAGTGATAACTAGAATAAAATATTATTTAAATTAAATAAATTGAAAACATTTGTACTAAGTTAACCAGCTTAGTCTAATCTTCGAGTGAGTTGCTTGTATGAGTAATACAAATAGAGACTCTATTGTCAAGATAGAAAACCCACTAGGGGTTCCTATTCTATTTGAGTCATTTACTAGTATTAACACAAATCACAGTCAACACAAGCTTAGATAATTACTGGTACGAGTGACGTTATTGATACTTTAAGTATGATAATTAATTATAATAATATCTATTTCAAATTATTACTATATTAATAAATTTTCAGACATTATTTGTCTTCCTATGTTATATATCTTCTTTTAAAACCCTCGTACTCATATCCCTGAAGATAATTACATATAGCATTCTATTTAATAAATACATAAATACATCACCCTCATGCTCAGCCCCTGACCATAAAAAATGTAATATTTATTTAGTGTTACTATACAATGTATTTTTTAATTTATATGGAAATTGTGTAGAACCCTACGGGGCGGGTGTGACGCAGTGGATTATTCAGTTGTCATCTAAGCGCTGATGTTTAGCTACACTGTTTGCTGTTAGTTAATGCAGTTGTAAAACTCCTGTGTGGTCACCCATCCGTGTGCTTTAACAGTGACACGCTCCTTAATAGTTCTTTCAGCCATAATGTGGCTGCGTCAGGCGACAATCAGTATAAAAATCCTGTCAAATCATGATGTAAAGTCGACCCAAATAATATAGACAGAGGCTGAGGAGATGATGATAAATATAAACAACACTACGAGTTATTTAAATTTTCGGTTTCGTAAAGTAAATTATCAATAAATAAAACATTAAAATAAATTTTGTATGCGCATGCATACGTATTCTATTTGAAATTATTGATTTAAAAATTATGTACCTGAGAGCTAAAAGATGATATTATTGTCATATAGTTCTCAGCCATATATTATGGGTACAAATACTATTTTAAAGTTGCACATGTTATGCGTACTTAATGTTAAATATGTTTGTGTCAAAATATGATTTTTATGATATCAAAAAGATATTAAAATATATATTTCAAATATTATGATATAGTTACATGGTAGTTTATAAAATGTTAGTAAATGTTTAAATTAATTAATTTACTATTAAATTAAAGAAAAATTAATTCTTTGTACTTATGAACTTCAGGTTATTAGGCCTAGTTTCGTTACACATATTTTAATATGTTCATATAGTAAATCTTGCTCGAATCAAAATTATTACTTAGTTATCAACCCGTTATCTTTCGTAGTTCATCTGCTAAATTTGAATTTCAGTGAACTGTTCTTGGATTTAATGATGATAGTGTATTAGAAGTAGAGAGTTTAAGAACTTACAATTCAAGTTTTATATTAATTCACATTTTTTTGCAAATACGTATGATGATTTCCTTTTGTTAGATATAACTTTTAATTTGAAAATCTAATACTGACATATTTATTAGCTAATGTTTTATCTAATTTTACGAATACAAATATAGGTATCTATTAACGTCAATAGTCACACTTCCAAAAGATATTAAAATTAATAATTTAAACTTTGTGTAATTTTGTTATTTTTCTAATCTATGGGCAATGTCTTTATCAATGATCTATTATAATAATTATATAATACAAATGATATTATGATCGTTTAAAACTGCGATGTTAAACCGTAATCTGTCACTTTAAATTTGACCTTGTTATTCTCTCAAAAATTTACAAACAGATAGCGTTAGAGTAATCGTAATTTATGATAAATAATTTATAATAAGTTTTTGGAAGTCAAAAAAATAAGGCATTCAATAGAGGTTACTTACGTTCCCAACCGTATATACATTAATTTGTTAATTAAGAAAAAACTATATAAAACTAATTAGATTAATAATATAAAAATAATAACCAAATTATATAAAATAGTATGACTTTTAAAAACGTTTTATTTATCAAAATAATTTTATTAAAAATATCAATAATAGACATGTCAATATTTTTAGTTAATTTTTAATCTGTAATTTAAAATTACCTTTTAAAGCGCTGTTCAATTTTTTTTTTGATTTTTAGTTTTTTTAATAAACTTTTCAATTCATATCTGTAGATAGTGTTTAATTTAATCACAATGAAAGATTTGATTATATCTTATACCTTATAAGGGTGTCATCTTTAATTTAACCATTGG